TAGGTAGGACTACTGTTTTGGTGGGAGACAACCAGGAAACTAGGGCTACAGTCTAGACCGAGATGCCAACAACATTCTAAGATAAAGGTAAGGTTCCCCTGGCACATTCATGCTAGTCGTTCCCGACTCTAGGCAGCAGTGCAGTGCTCATCTCCGTTTCAAAGCCAAAGAGCCAGCGCTGTCCGAAGACGTCTCCGTGGTCATATGGCCGGCATGACCAAAAGCGCACAGAACGCTGTTACCTTCCCATCAAGTGGCTCCCTACTTTTCTACTTGCATTTTTACATGCCTTCAAACTGCTAGGTTGGCAGAAACTGGGACAAGTAACGGGAGCTCACTCCGTTACGTGGAGCTAGGGATTCGAACTGCCAAAACTGTCGACCTTTCTGATTGACAAGCTCAGCAGCTTAGCCACTGAACCACCTTAAAAACATTGTAGAAGTCAATATCAAGCAATATCTGTGCCGTTGCCGAGTAAATAGCATGGACATGTTCATGTAACAAAGTCAAACTCAACACATTTTTTAAAAAAACTAACAATATAGTTTCACTCTATTGAAGATGGATTTTTATAATTCAATTCCTGAAGATGGGCAACACACCTATTATTTCTGTACCAGCAGAAATGATTTGTAGGACAACTATCATCTAGAATTTTGAGGTGCTTCCTGCAACTGCTAAGCATTACATCGTGCAAATGTTTTCAACCTCCACAGTCTCCAGTGGTTCTCTTTAATATCTGGAGATAATTGCCCTTAACGACTGATGATTCCAGACTTTCTCTTTGTTTCAGGTGTTGCTTCCTATCTGCAAAACATCCCACTGCTCTCTCTGAATTGAAACATCATCTGTATTCAATATATACTACATACATAAAACATTTAACCTTGGAAAGGATCCAAAAAAACATGCCCTTCGCTAAATATAAAAACTAAACATAAAAACATTAAGGGGATGTTAACTGGCCTCCATCTATAAAGCAGCTACTCCCAATCATTCCCAATCAAAATGATCTCAAAAGCATTTTTTTTACCCAGCCCAGCAATCCTCATTAAAAGGATTGGTGAACAGGAGAAACTTGGTTATCGTTAGAATACCTATGGTTGGGTACATCTCATGAGGAATGGTTTTGGAGGAAGGAGAAAGGTACAGTCAACCAAAAGGAGGGAATGGAGAAAAAAAATGGTACGAACGAGAAAGCATGTGAGAAGGCATGGGGACATGATTCAGTAGTCTTCATAGCAACTAGATGATTACCATGGAGGAGGTGCATGGAAGCCAAGGCAATCAAACTCATTCATGGAGCAGCCATTGCTAAGAATCACACACTACTCCTGGTGAAAGAAGCAATAGCTACCTGCCTATCAGGTTCCATATGCCAAAGTAATTCAGGGCTATGTCACAAAAAGCCCCAGAAGTATGTATAAAGTCATTGCTTTATGTTGAAAGTTCTTCAGATGTTGGATTACAACTCTTATAATCTCTTGCTCTTGGACATATTGATTGAGACTAAGGGGCATTTGAGTAGACACATGGAGACTACTAAATACCGTCCCCTCGTCTTAGGTATTAGGAGAATGTAATCACAATGATGTCAGTATCACCCAAAATAAAAATGTTGATGCCAAGGCCTGGTGCAGGAGTTAAGTTTAAGTTTTATTTTATTTATATGCCGCCCTATTCCCTAAAAGGGACTCAGGGCAGCAAATAACTTAAACGGGAAGGGTAAACATACAAGTACAAAATAAACATATTAAAATGACC